TTTGTCGGCCATATGATGCGTCCATTTATTCTAAGTCTCCTGAGCTGTCCACATACGTCTCAGTTCGAAAAATTCATTTTGTTTTTTGGCACTTGTTAATGCTCTTTTTATGGTCAAATTCTAGTCCTTAACGAACATTTGTAAGGCCAAACGACTTTTGCTTCTTCGACCCAGTTTTCGTTTTCGTTCAGTCATTGGAATGTTAGGAATCAAAGCTGCAGCCAGCTTACTACAGGGCGGCTCTCACAAAGAGCCATTAACACTCTTACTTACTAGTGGTTACTTTTTGTCACTCAGGTTACTTCCCCAGTGCCTCCGCATCTCATGGAAAGCAAGGACAAAGATTTTGACTAATTGCTTTCTAATATTCTTCGACGGATTAGTGTTTCTTTGGATAAATTTTAATTGGCTTCTAAATTTTGCAGCTCTGATTCGGTTTTTCTTATTGTCTCTTTGACCTCCTTGAAGAGCAAAAAAACACTCAGCGACGTTTGTCTTTTCTGCGACATGCCTGTTCGTTGACGTTATAAGTATTTAACATATCTGAATGAGGAAGAAAAACGGCTTTTCCCTTGGAAATTGAGGGACGATGGAAGCCGGCGAGTCAGGTGTATTGACGTTAAACGAAATTTTTCGTCTACGTATTGCCCACTCACTAGCTCACTCTAAGACTACATCGTCATTACCGTTAAGCCTGCCAAAATCATACGTCAAGTTTTTTTCACGTAAGAAAGACTTCGCTCCTGTTAGTTTTGAGATATAGGCAAAAATGACAGTTTTCATTTTTTCGATCGCTTGACACGAGTTTTACGTTGACTTATGAAATTCCTGGCTGATTTTTAAAACTTATTTAATGTCGATCATATGTGTATGTGTTTTTCTGTCAAGTGCTTCTGTTAAGAAAACCGTTGAGGCAGTAATATTTCTTGTCGAAGGCGAAACGAACGTCAAGATCGCAAGAAGGTTGAGTTGACCATCAGATGATACAGCATTGACCATAGTGAAGTTACCAGCTCCACAGCAAGATAAGCGGATCTAAACTGCACTTAATCAAAGCACTATTTGCGGTAACTCATGTTCTGTATAGCAATGAACTCCAATGGAGCGATTGCAAGAAAGAAGCTAGAAGTCGAAGAAGTTGATCGAATACCAGGCCTTAAAATTATTCGCCCAAAGATATTTCCGGATAATCGTGGTTATTTTGTGGAATCATACAATGAACAAGAATTGACGGCTCACGGATTCACTGAGAAATTCAAACAGGTATTGCTTCATCCGTTTCTTAATTGGGTCTGAAAACGATTATTTAGATCATTAGACTCGCAAGAGGCTTGGGGAGTTAGTACCTCCTTCCTCTCTTTTGAAAGACGTATATTTTTGTCATAAGAGACGGATAGGCGGTGAGTATCAACTGCAGGCATACGGCCAGCACCAAAAAACCTGGCGTGCATTTTTGTCTGGCTGTTGTGACAGGTGCTAGGACACTAGCCTAAATCAAACTGTTGCTGTGATGGCTGAACA